AATTCTGATTAAACCAATTCAGGATCGCACCTATTCTTACAAGATCCTGTACCATTCAATTTATATTCACAACATTGTTTCCTTAGCTGAATGGGGTCCTCCTTATCCGCTTCGAGATTTACCTGGTCACTCAATTCAGTATAATTACCATGATTATGTTGATGCTTGGTTCAAGATCTTCTTGTACCAAAATGAAACCTTCAGTCATTCTTGGTTTATTTCATTTGATCAAAAATTCAAATCTGAGTTACCCTTCTGGTTTCTACGATGGTGGACTCATTATGGCGCCATTTCAGATATTCTCCCTCATGGTCTTAATGAGTTAATTCATTATTTTGCTTCTGTTTATCCATTCACCACTCACCAAAGACAATTTCCATTATTGTTAATTTTTATATCCAAATATAAAATCCCATGGATATTCAAATGGCATTATGGACTTGATGATAAAATAGTCATCCGCCAGCATTCAGTCAAATGGTGGGCTAAGTTCAATTTGCCCCGCATATTTGAAATTGTTCACGAAGAATTCCCTTCTGATCAATATGCTCCTACTCCTGCACTTGCTAAGGCCCAGCAGAACCCAACTGCTGCAATCAGTCAAGGAAGTCAGCCCAGTCTTCCTCCAATCAACCTTGGAAGCCCCTCATCTAGTGGTTCCAAGCCCATTAAATCAAAGATTCAGTCCACATCTAACAAATCAAAGTCCAAGGCTAAGTCCAAAGGCCCTGCAATGCCGGCCCAACCCAAAACTCAATCAAAGCCCAAGTCAAAATCCAAATCCAAGGCTCCGTCAAAGCCCATTTCATCTCAGTCCAAAGTCAAAGCTACAAGTAAGTCCAAATTATCTAAAGATGAAGTGCTCTAGTTCGTCTAGCAAATTATGGATCAAAGTGAAGACCATTCATCTAGTTCAGACAGTTCAGAAGAAGGATCAGAACATTCCCACTCTTCTGAAGGATCAACTAATCAATATTCTGGTCCAGAGTTTCAAGATGCTCAAGATCCGTTTAATTAATCAACATAGGATTCCCTATAAATACAAATTAGCTTCAATCAATACTCTTTTGAGAAAAGATGTCAATTTGTATTTATATTGATTCCTTTATTCACATGTACCACCTAAAGCAATGAATAGTAAAAGTTACTGTTCACTTTTACTGTTCACCATCACTATTTCACTCAATCAACTTTTGTTAAAGCTGCTTCAACTGTTCAATCAATCAGCCGAAAGCAACCGACAGCTCTGCTCAGTCTCCAATGCTGCCAGCTGCCTTCCGCCAACTCACATGCTGTACAGTTAATTTATTTTCTATATATTGTAATCAATTGTATTCATTCAGGCAGTCTTCAATTTTTCTTTCTTTCATTGTAAGAAAATATCAGAGTGTGCTGAGTGACAATTACTCTTTCTCGTTTACCATAATTAAAGATCCTTGCAGTTTCCTTGCAACTACAACTACAATTGTAATTGTAAGTTATTTCTTGTATTTATAATTACAAAATTTTATATAAAATGATTTTGGTTAATTAGTGCATTCCAATTCCTTTGTTTAATTTTATCATATTTGATTTTGTAATTCATGTTCTTCATGTTGTTTGCTGTGTAAATATACCTAAAAAGTAAAAAAAAAAATTGCTTAAAATATTAAAAAAATTCAGTAAAAAACAAAAAAAACGAAAAATAAGAAAATAGAATTTTTTGAAAAGTGTTTTGAAGAAAACACAACCAAGCAAGCTGAATCAGCCAAAAAATTAATTTACATGTAATATTTTGCCTTATTAATCTATTTAGCATATTTTATCTTTTTGTATTTTTTTTGGCCAAAGAATTGATTGTCAAACAAAGCCAAATAATAAAGAGTTCTGTTGGAAGTATTTACTTTTGATTTTTTTTTTTTATAAAAATATGTATAAAAAGCAGGGAAGTAATATGATTTAAAATAATAAAAAGATTAAAAAAAAAGATTTTTATTGATAAATCTCATTTAAAAGTGTTTTAACCCAAGAAGTCCATGAAGGAATTTTTTAACCCATTTAGTCCCATGTATATATAGTTTTATTTTATAAAGTCATTTTTTCTTGATTTACACTATTTTCTTGGACACTTATGCCTTTATATTTAATTTTGATACCCTTATAAATATTTTTTAAACAGTTAGCAATTTTATGATGTGAACATTCATATTTTAAAATTCACATTGATAGGAATGTAAAATTGGCCCGTGGGCAGCCCGAAACCCGCCCGCGAGCCGGGGCGGGCCCGGTCCGTTGACAATGTGAATATTTACATTGACATGTTAACATTTACATTAATAGGAGTGTAAAATTGGCCGTGTCCCGTGGCGGCGCAAAACTAGCCGGCGGCCCATGGACGGCCCAGAGCGGGCCCGGTCCGGCCCGTTGACAATGTGAATATTTACATTGACATGTTAACATTCACATTGATAAGAGTATAAAATTGGTCCGCGGCCCATGGGCGGCCAAAAGCCCCCTTCCAGCCCGGGGCGGGCCCGGTCCGGCCCGTTGACAATGCAAATATTCACATTGACATGTTAACATTCACATTGATAGAAGTGTAAAATTAGCCTGCACCCTGTGGCTGCCCGAAACCTGCCCCACAGCCCGTGGACGGCCCGGGATGGGCCCGGCCCAGCCTGTTAACAATGTGAATATTCACATTGATATGTTAACATTCACATTGATAAGAGTATAAAATTGGCCAGTGGCCCAGGGCGGGCCCCACCCGGCCCGTTGACAATGTGAATATTCATATTGACATGTTAACATTCACATTGATAAGAGTGTAAAATTGGCCCGCAGCCCGTGGGCGGCCCGAAGCCCGACTGCAGCCCAACCCGTGACATTGTGAGTATTCACATTGACATGTTAACATTAACATTGATATGAGTGTAAAATTTACCCGCTGTCTGAAGCTTGCCCACGGCTCGGGGTAGACCCGGCCCGGCCCATTGACAATGTGAATATTCACATTGATATGTTAACATGCACATTGATAGGAATGTAGAATTGGCCCGCGGCCTAGGGCTGAGCAAGTAATCCGTGAAATCCGTAATCCGATCCAGTCCAGTCCAATCCGATAGGTTTGGATTGGTTTTTTGAATCCGCGGTCCATTATTAAAAATGGGAGAGGGACCTTAGACTAATTTTTTCCTTTTTTATATGCCCTTTATTTTTATAAAAAAATTATGTCTTTTATTTATTTATTTTTAGATTGTTAGATTCATTTTTCTTACATCATATGACTAAAAATAAAGGACATTTAATTTTCTTTTAAAAATGCATGAAAATTTATTTTAAAATAAATACATTTATTTTTAAGATTAAAAAAAATATTTAAAAGAAAAAAAATCTAATACAAAAAGTATATAATTTTAAAATAAAAAGAATTAGAGTAAAAGATAATTCAACCTCTTTGGCAAGTTACTTTTTTTAATTTTTTCGCTTAAAAATATAATAAAATAGTCGATAAGATAAAATGTCAGAATTATCATAATTATTTCATTTTTTCTTTTACAACCATCAAATCAATTAAAAAAAACTAACTATCTTTCCAAACACAACCATCAAAATAGGCAAAAAGTCAAATAGTCAACTTCGGCGAAAAACATATTTATTATCTTTCTTATATTTAATGCATGATTAAGATTATCTCCAACTCAAATTCAAATCTTTCATCAAATTTAAATTTGATAAAAATTTGGTAAAAATGGTATTCTAACTATTTCATCAAATTAATATCAAATGAAGGGAGCCCTACTTTTTTCATCAAATTAAGAGAGTGTTTAACATTTCATCAAATTTCTTAAGTGACCATTAATAGACGACCGCTAGTCAATTGGGTGACCGATCGAATGAAATAAATTTGAAAAAAATTTACACTAAACCGATCTATCGCCTGAACATCCTTCCAATCGATCGATTATTTGATAAAAATTAATAATTTAACATTGAAACACTCAAGGCTCGTTTGGGAACAAGTTATTTTAATAACTTTTTGACTTTTTACTAAAAGATGTACAAAAAAGTAAATACAGTGATGTGATAACTTATAAGAGCATCCTCATCAAGCTCTTCAAAATCATTTTTTAGTTAATAAACTTCAAAAAATCAGCTCCATCAAACTCGCTTGCAACTCGTCAAAATTTATGTTTGCTACAGTATCTCACTACAACAGCGAGGTACTGTTCATCGCTAAATTAATGTTATCGGATGTCCGCTCGAAAGTCTGCTGGGATGTTCGGCAGGTCAGCGGCAATTTTTTTTTTGGGCATTTTTTAAGAATTGTTTGGCTAGTAACTTGTCAATTTAATAAAAAAAGAAAGACTAACAAACACAATAAGAAAATAATATTTTAATAAGAATAAGTTAGAATAGAGAGTTTGATGCAGCATGTGTTAATTAGAGGTGACTAGCTAAAATAGTAAAATAGCTTTAATTTGACTAAAAATTTGAAGTGGTTGGTGTAGCTGCTCTAATAACTTTTTGACTAAAATATATAAGGGTAAATTACATTAACACCCTTTGAGAGTTGGTCTAATTACTATCCACTCCTTGACGTTTTAGAAATTACATTTTCACCCCTGTGATTAGTAGTCTCATTTCACAAACCCTTTACTTATATAAAAAATAACAACTTCTAGTAAAAAAATAAAAGAAATTACATTAAAAAAAAAAGAGTAAAGGAAATGAGAAAAAAAAAAGAAGAGAAAGTAAAGTAAAATAAAAAAAGAGAGAGTGCATGAGTTAAATGTTTTCATTCTGTCTAAATAATTACAATGATAGGGGAATTAATGTAATTTCTCAAACGTCAGGAGGTGATATATATTATACCCAAACCTCAAGGGGTGTAAGTGTAATTTACCCAATATATAATTGACAAACTATCAAATAATATTTTTAACTCAAATTTTTATTTAATTTAATAAATAATTTTTTTTAAAAAAAATAAGGTGCTCTAACAAAACCCTTTACTTTTTTATCGTAACTTTTCATTTTGGCAACTATTGGGCCTAGGGCAACACACAGAGCAGAGAACAGACAGAGAGAGAGATGAAGCCGTCGCCGGTGGACTATTTGGCGGACCTAGATGACCATGGATCGACGATGGCGATGGACGTTGACGACGTCGAAGCCCTCGAGATCTTCGGTGAAGGCCAAATCTCCGTCGACAACAAGCTCGCCGACGCCGACTTCTTCAACTCCTTCGAAGACGACTTCGACGACACTGACATCAACTGAACTCACCACCATGACCATCAGCATCACCACTCCTCCTACCTCCCATTTCTAGTGTTTTCAATGTAAGGCTTATTGGCTTATTTGATTTTTGTGTGCTTGTTTTGAAAGGAGACAAATGAAAATGTTTGGATCTGTATGTATAGATAAAATGTAATGAATGTTTGGAGTTCCTCTTCTCTGCTGGTCTTGTTCTTTGCATATCATTGATTGTCTGAAATTAGGTTTTTTTTAAGGAAAGTTTACCCATAAGTCATAGTTTTTGAAAAGTTGAACCATTTAGTTCTAAAAGTTTTTTTATGCTCCATTTAGTCCCATTTGCACATCAATTTAATGTTCAAAACATTAATATGATGTTTGAAATCTAATGTTCGAAACATTAATCTGATGTTTGAAACATTGCAATGGGACCTTTCAGTCTATAAGAAAACTTTTAGGACTAAACAGTGTATAAGTTATTAATTTGGGATTTATTGATGCATCCTTTTTTTAATTGTTTATTTTATTTTATTTTATTTATGGGTATCTGTTGTTTATTGTCTAGTATTGATGTTATTGTAGTTATAGCCAAATTATCTGTTTCTCTCTAATCTAAGAAGCATCCAGCACGGATATGGCGATACGTTAATTTTTAAAAAGGAAAATGTTTGGTAGTTCAAAATTTTGTTGTTCAAATGGCTCAAATCCGTCAAATCGACGTCGTTTTACACTTATTTACACTCAAAACGACGTCGTTTTGAGTCATTTGAGCCACAAAATTTTGAGCTACTTAGCATTGCTGTTTTAAAAAATGCAAGACATGAGGAGATACATAAAATATATAATTTTATATATTTATTATATATAAATATATCATTTAAAAATAATAAAAAATATAATATGATATTAATTCTTATAAATTTATATATGTTTTGTTTTATTATTGTATCTTAAGTTATTTTATTCAAATTTATAATTAGTTTCACATGTATTTAATCGATGGACATGTATGTTTAAGTAATTGACATGTGTGTTTTCTAAATGTTTAAAGAGTGTCTGAGTTTTCAAAAAAATTTAAAAAATAAGACGTGTTTTGAAGAGTATCGGACACGTGTCCTAAAAGTGTTTAGTAGTGTCGGTATCCGACACGTACACGATACGAATATGTCACCTTCTTTGAAATGTCCGTGTTTTTAGTCTCTAATTATAGGACAAAATGTATATTAGTAATTTCACTTTTATTCCATAACTATTATCATTTTGTCCTTTTCATCTCTAAATTATTGATTTCATATACTCCCTCCTTTCTTAAATATTAGTCCCTTACTTTATTTTTCATTGTCCTAAAATATTAGTCCCTCTACAAAAATTAAGTACAAAAATAATATAAATTTCTTATTTTGTCCTTTTTTTAAATTAATAAACAATATAAAAAGTACAATTATGATATTGATATTTCCAAAAAATATACTATCAAAAGGGTAATTTTAAAAAATTAACTTTTTTCAAATGTAATAATTGTACTATAAAAAAAGTTAAATTCCTCAAAAGGGACTATTTTTTTGGGACAGAGAGAGTATTAAAATTATGTTTGGATCATGGATTTGGGTAGTAATTTGAAAAAGAAAAAGGGAAAACGAAAAAAATGGGTGAAATATAAATGAAATTAGAGAAGATGTGGTTCCACCTTTTTCCTTTCCTTTTTCTGAAATTCTTATCCAAATTTGTAATAAAAAAGCAGCCTTGGTCTTAAAATTCAGATTTCAGGTCATATGATCCAATTAGGGACGATTGTAAAAATAAGTACTCGTTGAGGCTTGACTTGATGGGGAAAAAGATCATTTTCAAATGTGAACAAGTTAAAACCCGCAACCAAGCACTATATTTTTTTTTTTGTTTTTACTATTTTGAGCAAAACACACCCCCACAACCAGTTGATGTGTTAAATTGTTTAAATTTTGAAATGATCTTTTTGACTATCAAATTAAGATTTAACGGAAACTGATTTGTGTTTCCAATTGGATTACATAAACTGAAATTAAAAATTTAATGTCTAAATAGATGAAATTAATAATTTAGGCATGAAACAGAAAATTTGATGATAGTTTAGGAGAATAAAGTTAAAATTAACTATTATAAGTATACACTTAGTTTAAGTTTCTAGTATAGATGAAGAAGAAACCAATAAAAAAACATTTGATTTATTTTTTCCAATCAAGATTCAAGGTTTGAAGAGGATGATTTGATAGTATTTTGTGCTTTCCTTTTTCTTGGAAATAACTTCTCCAAATGGCCCTAGGGATGATTACCTACAAGTGAACATGGTTTACATGTTGATGGTAGTGCTATTGATATTAAAAAGTGAATCAACAGCCTTCTTGCAGTGGGTGTTATTTAATTTTAGCAGCATATTACTGGTGGATGTTGAGAATAAAGTTCAGTGACTCAGGATGGGTGCTCTTTTAGCTTTGTAGAACAGCAGCCACCCTATTTCTCATCCATTCTTACTTTGGAGAGCTGATGTACATTTGGGCATTAGCTGAATATTTATACATAGCAAGATAGATAGATAGTTTAGGCATTAGATTAATAATGACTGGTGGTATTTGCATACATGATATTTATATATTGTATATGTAAAGCACTTGTGTGACTATATAACATTGAAGAGGTTTAGTTGGGGTTGTTTTGTATATCCTATTTTTCTTGAGTATTAGATACTTAGTATAGATTTGCTTTTGAATAATTGGGAAGGATTCAATTTCTTGGTGCCTTTTTGGTGGTTCTCTTTGTCATACTCTTTGGGTAGGGTTGAAATACCTTGACAAATTAAGGGGAACATTTAAAACACTGGTAACATCATAATGCAAATATTAATGCTTATGTTTGTATGTATAGATATATGTATGTATGTGTGGATGGTATATATTCGCATATTACTTAATGCTAAAAGATCTTTTCGTTCTTGATTTTGCTAATGTGTTTTCTGTTTTAAGGTGTACCCATTTGTTGGACTGTGATGATTGATCAACTGATTCGTGGATTTTCTATTGCGTGCTTGGCTTATTGAGTTTTAGTAAGTATAAACGAACAAGAAAACAATTAAACAGTTAAGACTTATCTGTTTTTACCAACTGAAGATGAGGGTTGTTTTTCTCGGGGTTGGGCTTTTGGGAAAATTTTGCTTCTGATATCTGGAAATGAATTGTGCAATCAGTTCTAGGGCTTGCATGCTACTGAACTATGTATTGATGGTAGTGTGTTTTATATTGAAAAAAGAATTAGCAACTACAGCCTACAGGGACTTATACAATATGATTTGATATTTAATTCAAATTGCCCTGATGGTGTTGTAGGGAGTAGTGTAATAGAGACTCTCTGGTGTATGCAGCTTTTAGAGGGTGCTCTCTATGCTTTGTAAAACGCTGTCACCTTATTGTTTGTCTGGTTATGCTTTGGAGACGCTTGATGCTACATCTTTAGGGAGTGCTTTGTAAACTTTCATTTGTTTTGCTTTGTAATGTTGAGTTGGTATTTTAGCTCAGTGAGGACTGTTTATACTGCTCATAATGTCAAAGAGCTTTGATCGCAGTTGTTTCCCGAGCCCTTTTCCTGGGTAATACTTCAGCATTTTTTTTATTTATTTGGTGTGCTAACAATGCAAAGATAGAGATTTTTAACCATTGGTAATTTGATAGTACTGAATATGGTTACATGACTAGAATCTACAACTTTTGTTTGTGATCACTTATGCAAATAGAAGAATACTTGTGGGCAGGGGGCAGTGGGCTGCAAATTTCCCATGGTTAATTAGATTGCAAGTGAATAGATTTGTAGGTAGTGACATGTTTGAGAATGCTTGGAATTTGTGAGAGGAGGTTTGGGAATTTTTAGTTGAACAACTGAAATTTGTTTATTCATGAAGTGAATTGCAGGGAGCTTCTAAATACATCCCTTTGATATTTCTCAACCCAAAAGAGAAAAAAAAAGATTCAGTTATCAGGATAAGAGAGTTTGTTGGATGAGGGTTTTAAACCACTTGGTTGGACTTGGTTGAAGCCCGCTAAGCCAGAGATGATCATGAGCAAGAAATTTCTTTTTTTAAGATGAAATGATGAATGATAAGTTACTATTTACATGGATGAATGAATGATTTTTTTGGGTTATTTTTGTGGAGCTAGTTTTTATCTTTATTATTTCAAATTCAATTATAAAAATGAGAAAAAATATGTATACAAAACTTGCTAGGATAAGATGATGAGTTCGGAGGATTCTCGTACGTTGTTTGGCCAAGATTTAATACATTAATCAATCCCTATTTTCAAAATTAATTAAACATCCTCCAGCAATAACAGAAGTTAGTAAGTATTGAGACCATTAAGAGGTGATGATATGAAGTAAATAAGGATTAATGAGTAATAACAATTGGTAAAGTTACTATCATTTTTGATTTCATGATGTTGGCTAATTCGTTTTAACGTCTGTTATTTTTCTTCAACTGAGACCTATGCATTCGTTTGCAAAGTATGCTTATGGTCTGATTTGTACGGAAATATTTGGCATCCTTTAAATAATTCATTTTTTTTTATTTTTTTTCTATCACATTACCTCTTTATTTTTCTGCACATTTTTACTTAAAAAAACAAAAAGTGCACTTATTTAGATCATTCCAAACAACCACCAGTAATATTTTTAATTTTCGTTTCTTTTCTCTCTACCAGTTTCTTTTCACGTGGTCTAGTGATGTGGTAGTTTAGAAGTTGATTTATTTTTTTTGGGCCAATATTAGAATGGCAGGCCAAATTTTATGTATAATCTAACTTTTAGAGCTTAAATGGTAGGATTTATATCTAAAATCAATCTAAATCATATGTTAAAAAGTCACTAAAAAGATTTAAAAAAAAAAATTATTCTCTTCTTTTTAATTTTTTTTAAAAAATATTTTTTCATAAAAAGTCATATTTAAATCATTTAATTTTTTTTAACTCATATTTTAATTGAAAAATTAAAAACCTACTAAACAAATCACTTCCCAAATCTTTCCTAAATTCGGAGAAGGGAAGGTGGCATAGTGATCTTTCTAATGTAGAATTTAAGTCAATGAGATGATTACGATATTTTTATTATAATTTAATTTATTAACCTTCTTTTACTTAAAAAAACACCTTTTAAATTCTTTGAACAAAATTATAAGCACGTTATTATTGACAGAGAACGTGACACTTGTGTTTTTTTATTTTTATTTTAAAAACGTGAAAAATATTATATTAATAAATAATAATATTAAGTTCTTAAAAAGGTTATCCCAATTAAATAAAAAAATAAAAAATCCATAAAAAAATAGCTATCAATCAAAAAAAAATTACCTATCTTCTTAAAAATATAATCTGAAAAATAAAATCTTGAAAATCGGCCGTCAGGTCGTGTCGTGGCACTTCTTACTTTTCCTTTCGTGGACATCAAAGCAGCCGTAGAACACAAAACGACAACGCAGCATCGGCGTATCGGTTTTTGCCTTATAACGTGAGAAGTATAAATTTTTTTATTAAATAAATAATCAAATATTTTATATTAATATATATTTTTATAAATTTTATATTCATATAAAATATTTAATAATTTATTTGATAAAAATTTGAAAATTTATAATATTTTTTTAATTCGAAAAGCTAAGACGACACGTGACTGTTAATCTTTACAACCACGTGTCACCACCCATTTTCCCAACGATAAAACGTCAAAAAGCTCGTTCTTACGGGAACTTTGAAGCGCACCGGCAATCTCACCGACCATCTTCACGTGATTCCAACAATCTTATCCGTGGCCTCCGCATTCGCTATTAGCTCGACACGTGTAGATTGGACACGTGTCGATAAAGTAACGGTTCTAAATAAAATCCTATATATACGCCATAGCTCGCTCTTCTCACAGCTCTTGTCTTCACAGCACAGATCAACGACTTGACTGTTTTCCCTCCCTCTCTATATATAGCAATTCGAATTGTGATTGGTTTGATTGTACGGACATGGCCATGAGCTTGCCACACCAGATCGGAGCTCTGTCAGGAACACCAATAGCGGCGGATTCAGGTAGCGTTTCCGGCGAAGCGGCGTCGGCTACGGTGAGCGCGACGCCGGTGCGAATGTCACCGGCGGCGAGTCTCCAGTGCATGGCGCAGAAGCAGGGGGCGGCGGCGGAGATCGATCGGATATCGCCGTCGCCGCCGCTGAGCCCTAGGATGGGAGGAATCCGGCCGGATCTGTCGGTGGCGTGCCAGGCGCTGATGGAGTCGCCGCCGGAGGAGGTGGTGAGGGAGTACAAGGAGGGGGGTGCGCAGGTTAAGAAGGGGAAGGGGGTGCCGGTTTACGTGATGATGCCGTTGGACAGCGTGACTATGGGGAACACGGTGAATAGGAGAAAGGCGATGAATGCGAGCTTGCAGGCACTGAAGAACGCGGGGGTGGAAGGGGTGATGATGGACGTTTGGTGGGGTTTGGTGGAGAGAGAATCGCCGGGGGAGTATAACTGGGGTGGGTATGTGGAGCTCATGGAAATGGCGAAGAAACAGGGACTCAAAGTCCAAGCGGTTATGTCCTTCCATCAATGTGGTGGAAACGTCGGTGACTCTTGCACGTGCGTACATTACCTTCTCTTCTCTCACTTTATCTTTATCTTACGCCTTTGTCGTTTCTTTTCTCTCTACCAGTTTCTTTTCACGTGGTCTAGTGATGTGGTAGTTTAGAAGTTGATTTATTTTTTTTGGGATGAGAAAAAAAAAAAATTACAAAATTATGAAAAAAATAATGGGTTCGTTTGGTTTGAATTTCCCAAAACTTTTTGGGAAAATTTCTCTACAAATGAGTTTTCAGAAAAACTCAAACCAAACAAATTTTCTCAAATTTTTTTTCCAAAACTTGTAAACCAAACAAGTTTTCTAAACAAATCTCTCTCTCATACACATCAAATCAATCACTTTTTCCAAAACTCTCTCTAAATAATTTTTCAAAACATCTTTTCAAAAAAATCAAACCAAACAACTTTTCGTACTTTTTATCTCCCAAACTCATCTCCCAAAATCAAACCAAACAAGCCCAATATTTTAATTATTAAAATTTATAAATTTTATCATTACGTATTTGAGTTAGGGGTGCAACTTGCTCGGCTCAACCCGAGCAACTCAAATTCAGCCTGAATTTTTTTTGGACTTAAATAAGATATTTTCAATCTTGGTACGAGTTTGGGCAAAAATTTAAAAATCCGAATTAAATTTGAACGGATTTTGACAAAGACGTCAAACAATACGAGTAATTCAAAACCTGAATTATACATATATAGATATATAAAAATATTAAATATACATATAAATTATTAACCATTACATGATATTAAAGTAATTTAGATTATTAAAATATATTGAATATATATATTTTTGATCGGTAAATGTTAGTTGCTAGTTGTTAGATTAACACTTATGGGAGTTGTTAGATTAACACCTATGGGAGAAAATCTTTCCACTCTTGGCAAAGCACGTAAGTGCTTGCACTCTCTATAAATTATAAAGACGACTATAGCGACATCCCTTTTACATTATATAAATGATTTATTTTGATGGTATTAATTATTTTTTATAAATAAAAAAAATGTAAATAGAGTCAATTTTTAATAATTTAATAATGTAGCTGAAAAAAAAAGAAAAAAAAAATTGAAATTCATTTACAATTCGGGCAACTCGAGTAATTCGGGTTTAACTCGGATCGGGCTTGGACAGACAATCTCGGGTTACAATTGGGGCTTGGGCAGGTTTCTGTACAACTTGAATTGGGCTTGGACAACCTCCCAACCCGACCAAACCCGCCCTAATTGCACCCCTAATTTGAGCTACGTAAGTCAAACATCCAGTCGGATGATATGCCAAACAACAATGTTACCCTTTCGATCGCACTTTTTCTACGGTGTGTCAACCAACATTTGTCCGGTGTGCCAATCGACATTTGCCCGGATGAATAGCCAGACGGGCGCTCGAATGATCGTCTGGTCATATACAAATTCAAACAATTCGGACGAGTCCAAATTCATTGATGTAGCAATGATCTTTTTTTTTTTTTATTGTTACATTGGAGTGTTGTTTTCCCATTTTTTTTCTTAATAAACCCTTTATTATTATTATTATTTTTTTTTTGTTTTTTGAGTTAGTATGTGAACAAAGTTGAAAAGGATTAGAAGTGGTGAAAAATTAAACAAGAAATGTATTCAACAAAATTTTTGAGAAAATTCGATCAATATGTGAAGCTTTTTGGTTTATGGGAGTTGTTAGATTAACACCTATGGGAGAAAATCTCTTCACCCTTGGCAAAGCACGTAAGTGCTTGCACTCTCTATAAATTATAAAGACGACTATAGCGACATCTCTTTTACATTATATAAATGATTTATTTTGATGGTATTAATGATTTTCTATGAATAAAAAAAATATAAATAGAGTCAATTTTTAATAATTTAATAATGCAGCTGAAAAAAAAGAAAAAAAAAATTGAAATTCATTTACAATTCGGGCAACTCGAGTAATTCGGGTTTAATTCGGATCGGGCTTGGACAGACAATCTCGGGTTACAATTCGGGCCTGGGCAGGTTTCTATACAACTTGGATTGGGCTTGGATAACCTCCCAACCCAACCAAACCCGCCCTAATTGCACCCCTAATTTGAGCTACGTAAGTCAAACGTCCAGTCGGATGATATGCCGAACAACAATGTTACCCTTATCGATCACACTTTTTCTACGGTGTGTCAACCAACATTTGTCCGGTGTGCCAATCGACATTTGCCCGGACGACTAGCCAGACGGGCGCTCGAATGATCGTTTGGTCATATACAAATTCAGACAATTCGGACGAGTCCAAATTCAGTGATGTAGCAATGATCTTCTTCTTTTTTTTTTACTGTTACACTGGAGTGTTGTTTTCCCATTTTTTTTTCTTAATAAACCCTTTATTATTATTATTATTTTTTTTTTTGGAGTTAGTATGTGAACAAAGTTGAAAAGGATTAGAAGTGGTGAAAAATTAAACAAGAAATGTATTCAACAAAATTTTTGAGAAAATTCGATCAATATGTGAAGCTTTTTGGTTTATAACTCCACAGTTTTTCAATATTGACACAGTAATTATGAGGAATGGAATTTCCTATGGATGGCTGTAGTAGTGGCAATTTGTGTATTTTTTCCTAGCATTGATTACTCTGGATTATTATTATTATTCTTTGGAGTTAGTATGTGAACAAACTTGAAAAGGATTAGAAGTAGTGAAAAATTAAACAATAAATGTATTCAACCAAATTTTTGAGCTGTCTGCTATGATGCCCAAAATAAAACAGTGTTTTTTCCTTCCAAAATCACCTATTTGAATAGTTTTGAGGGGTGAAAAACTCTCAGATTTCGGAGTGATTCATACCATTAGTAATCATCCCATTTCCTTTCTGTCCAAATCTCTCTCATTGTGGAGTGATTCAAAAAGTGGGTGTAAAAGAAATAAGTTTCTCTCCATTTCATTCTATTTCTCCTCATTTGTTGCCTATTAAACAACCAAGAGAAATCCATTTCTTTTCTTTTCTATCCAAATCACTCAATCCAAACGGTCTGGAAATGATTAGAAGTAAGCAGAATTTTATTTTTTAATCTTCAAATACACTTTCCAAATATGCCCAACATTGGAGAGATTTGAAGTGAAAGAGAATGGAGTTTTTAGTTTGCAGTTTGCACTTAAGAGGATTGTTGTCTCTCTTACTATAAAATTTATTTAGCACTAATTTTATTTATTTGTTGATTTATTTATTTAAACTCATTTTTCATCTTTATTTATAAACTTAGTTTTGCTCACATGGAATGATGGAAGGAGATGCCATTTTTTTTCTCTCCTAATTTGCCAAGTGGACTGTAAGTGAATACCAATGTAGATAATTGGAATTTGACAACTTAGTGTCAGTCCCATTCCCATCTGTTGTTCGCTTTGATCTCCAATTTAAAAATGTTCTATTATTAGTAGTACTAGTTCTAATTTAACTATGAAAAAGTAGTGTGTAATAACCGAAATCGTGATATACTAACAGAAATGATAGGGTGCATACAGAAATAAACATCATCGCATTTGCTAAGATAATTTAAATGTATGTTAGATGGAGTATTTGAGCAAAGTAGGATATAATTTGATTGAATCCCCTCTGAATGCCTGTCTCTCATGCATTCCCTCCCACAGCCTGAAGTTGATCAATGGATACTGGTCAATCCTTACTGGACAGATTCTTTCTATGATCAATTTTACTGGTGGATGGCCTTTGAAGTGAGTAAATCAACCATAACTTAGGAATCCATTTGTAGAACAATAGGACATGTATTGATTTTTCATATTAGAACTTCCTCTTTTTTTTTTTTTGGAAGAAAAAGATGAATTGATGAAGCCATATACAGTCATGAATATTGTAAAGGATAATAGACTCTTTACAATACAGTCCAGGAAGAAATTATTGAGATTTGGGTGTATAAAATGGAGAGAGACTTCACTAGTTCAGTCGGTGAGAATCCCTCCCAAAGTTATCGCCTGTACCAAACAAAATAACTTACAAGCTAACTCTTGCCAGGTCATGAACCCAAGAGGTTGGGAATCAAATGAAAATTTTGGATGTCTACTGACTAAAATTTAAGTTTTTGTGAGATGCTGGTTAACAGATGATGATTGTGATCCAGAGATTTTGCTTGTTTAGTTTAGTATTGAGGTGTTTCATGGAATTAGCTTAGTTTTTTTTTATTTATATTTATTTTTATGGTATTGTAGTATCTTGCTTGGGAAAATTGGTTCAATATGTGAAGCGTTTTGGTTTATAACTCTATACTTTTTTCAATATTGACGCAATAATTATGAGGAATGGAATTTCCGATGGCTGGACGTGGTAGTGTGGCAATTATGTACTTCTTCCTGACATTGATTACTCTGGATTTTATGTACAGGATCCCTCTGCCAAAGTGGGTTGTAGAAGAGATTGACAAAGACCCTGACCTTGCCTATACAGATCAATGGGGTAGGAGAAATTATGAATATATATCCCTTGGCTGTGATACTCTTCCAGTCCTCAAGGGGCGTACTCCTATCCAATGTTATGCTGATTTTATGCGTTCTTTTAGAGACAAATTTGAGCACCTTCTAGGGGACACCATTGTGGTAATTACTCAATGCTTATCTTCTTGTACTTGGGTGTTGAATGGTTTCTTAATATATGCTTTATGAATTTAGGCTCGTATGACATAAGTTTAGCACAACCCTGACCTGGCCTATCTGTTGTTAACATGGAGATTGTTGGTTTAGGGTTTACGGTACGGTGTTCGCAAGTCGAGTTGGTTTGGTTTCACTGTCGGTTGCTACCTGACTCGGATTGATACAATACTTGCTCAATTTTGACAGATGTATTAGTTGTTCAGTTTGGTGTTGTGGAGAGAGGTAGAGAGGGGGATTAATTAGGGTTAGGTTTGTGGTTGTGATTTGATTAAGAATGAATTTGATTGTCATGGAAGCAGATCTTGATTTTTGTGATGTTTGAAGGGAGAATAGTAAAAGATAGGTTGTAAATTGTAATATGGGAGGGAGCTAATACAGTCTTGCCACGTGTAGAAAATACTTTCTAACGGTTATATTCGGTCAATTCGGGTTAGACGGAAACTTTTTCAGACCCACCAACATCGACCAACAACTGCCTGATTTCGCACACCATTTAACCAGCAGCCAACCGACCTGAGAAACAGAGATGACCGTTTCTTCAATTTTTGAGTCAGTCTGTTGGGTGTGGTTCAGGTTTTGATCCCCTTTAATTCATGGGGTTAAATGAAAGCATTACAAATGCTAAAACTGATGTGCATTTAAACTTGGAAACGGAAAAGCTAATATCCCCTGTGCTGGTGTCCCATTTAAGCATGAAATCTCCTGCAAAAGTTTGTTGATCATTAATCTGTGTTGATTTAGGAAATCCAAGTTGGAATGGGTCCAGCAGGTGAGCTCCGTTACCCATCATACCCAGAGCAAAATGGAACATGGAAGTTTCCCGGAATTGGAGCCTTTCAGTGTTTTGACAAGGTACTCACTATATTCTTTTCCCCCTTCTTGTCTCCTTATCTTTCATCATATTAAAACCCTATTTTTTCCCTCCCTCCCTGATCTTATACTATCTTGATTACACTCTGCAGTACATGCTCAGTCACTTAAAAGCTGCGGCAGAAGCTAATGGGAAGCCAAAATGGGGAAGTACGGGCCCTACGGATGCTGGTGAATATAACAACTGGCCGGAGGATACAAACTTTTTCCGAAAAGAAGGCGGTGGTTGGAATTGTCCTTACGGTGAATTCTTCCTCACCTGGTATTCTCAGATGCTTCTAGACCATGGTGAAAGAATATTGTTATCAGCCAAATCAACTTTTGAGAATACTGGCGTCAAAATCTCAGTTAAGGTAGCAGGCATTCACTGGCACTATGGGTCTCGATCTCATGCCCCTGAGCTCACAGCAGGGTACTATAACACTCGTTTTAGAGATGGGTACCTTCCAATTGCCCAAATGTTAGCACGCCACGGTGCCATATTCAACTTCACGTGTATTGAGATGAGGGATCAGGAACAGCCACAGGACGCCCAATGTTTGCCGGAAAAACTGGTTAGGCAAGTGGCTTTGGCCACTCGGAAAGCTCAAGTCCCGCTTGCTGGGGAAAATGCGCTGCCACGATACGATGATTATGCACATGAACAGATTTTACAAGCATCCTCATTGAATATTGATGGTGATTCGGGAGAAGAAGATACAGAGATGTGTGCGTTCACGTATTTGAGAATGAACCCGGATTTGTTCCAGCCGGACAATTGGAGACGGTTTGTGGGATTTGTTAAGAAGATGAGGGAAGGGAAGGGCAGTGAGAAGAGGTGTTTGGAGGAGGTGGAGCGGGAGGCCGAGCATTTTGTGCATGTGACTCAACCATTGGTACAGGAAGTTGATGTTGCTCTCATGCACTAAAAGGAAGTTTTTAGGTTAGTTATGTTGTTTCTGTACTCTTTTTAAGGCTAGTTATCCATACAAGGATTATAGTTTACGACAGTGTTGTAATAATGATTAGGTCCATGGACCTCTTTTATAGCTTCTATCTTGATATTGTTTGAACAAAACATATTTCATGTATATGACTCTCTCTGTCTCTCTCTCTGTGTTTTGTGTTGTGTGTTGGTTTTTTTCTTTCAAATTTGTCTTTTCCAGATGCTTCTTAGGTTTTTTAGAAAAGTTGGGAAACCAGAAAAACAGTTCAGAAATTTATTCAGAATCTTATTGAATGGTGTAGATTCAATTTTGTACACCCACTCTTAAAATGAATTTTAACCATTCAATGGCTTTTTTGTTTTTTAGATATTTTTGTCCATAAATATGACACTCTATTTTACAAAGCAAGGGTTGAAAACAGGAGCTTCCATTATTTTTCTACCGTGCACCAGTGATCCTTGATCATTCCAGCTGTCTTCTTGATATTTTGATTTTTTTTTTCAGTTTCGCCTTTCTAGTTGGTTTTTTATCATATAAATTATTGTTTGGGAATTAATTATTTTAATAATTTTTTGACATCTTATAAAAAAATATAAAAAAAAATAAATATTGTAATGTGATAATTTATGGTAGATTTTTGGCTAAATAGTTAGTTTATTGACTTATTTAGGTCGTATCACGTCTTTATTTTTTTTAGACATTTTTTAATAAACAAAAAAAAAATCAACTTAAAAAATATACCCCAAACAATATCATGAATGGGCCAAAATAATCAAATTTTCTTTCTACCCATGTTTTAAAAAATGTTATAAAATAATAAAATAAAATCAATGAAGGTTATTGTCCATTTTTTTGGCTTTGAGGGTTAACAGTTGAAATTTAAGCGTGCTAGTAAGGATCAATTAATCCTTACAGAATTTTAATTACCAACCAATTATTAGACGATTGTGTTGAAATTCTTTCAGTCTTAATGAAGAGGACTTTTACTGGTGACTTGTTTTAGGAAAAATTTATAAGAAATAACAGATACAAATTAGTCCAAAAGCTGAATTTTATTAAGTAAATGGAAACTTACAATGAAATGACTCAGCCTTGAAAATGTTTACAACAACAACTACTTGGAACTACTCCTAGGAAATGAAGTGCAGTACAGGAATTGAAGTGCTGGAAATGTAAAACTGAAAAGAAATATAAATGACAGATTTATGGATCTCAATTTGGGTTCTTCATTTTGGGGCATTTTCTTCTATTTATACTCTCTAATGGTAACCGTCGAAGGGGGTTTCCAACCATCAAAATGTCCTCTCATGATTACCGATCATGCTCTTTCACAGTTAATCCCACTACGCCATTCTTGCAGTTAAGCTTCCCTCCTGAATTTGAATTTGAATTTGTAAGTAACCGTTAGGCCATGTCATCTTGCGTCTTCTAGCTATTCTAGTGCTACGCAGATCTATTATTACCAATATGAACCGTCACGTGTCTGTCGCTGGTTAGAGACTTGTATTAACTCCCCAAATTATCATTTTCATGTCACGTGTTAAATTGTGATTGGTTCATACAAAATATATAGCCAACATTACCTCCCGCACTAATGTACACAATACTTGGTGATATTAGTGGACCAGTGCACTTTGCCCACGTTCTAAGACGTGCATGGACTTGGCTGAAGTATAACCGTATTCTTAGAAATGAAGCGCTAAACTTCATTAAATCCTTCTCTGTTATAGCGATTCTGGTTTTGACCCGACCTTTGTTGTATTCTGGACTCAAGTCTCGTGGTTTAATATTGTCATTCATGTCTTTTTCCTCCTTTCACCATTTGAGTTTGAGTATTGGGATGTCTTGGGCGTGTTTGGAACAGGTTGGTTGCTAGTTGGTCTAAATTGTTGTTGCCTAGATTTTGGCTTCTTCGCTCGAGCGAAACTTCTTGCACTTGAGCGAGCTTTGTGATCTTCCAGTACTTTTGCAGGCTTGCAGAGATATTGGGAGGGTGTTGTTGTTCGCTCGAGCGAGGACTCTTGCGCTCGGGTGATGATCTTCTATTTGTAAAACTTCTGGAAGTTTGTATTTTGTACTCGAGCGAGGCAACTTGTTGTGTCTGGTCGCTCGAGCTACAACTCTTGCGCTTGAGTGAGCCTTGCGTATATCAGTTCGCAACAGCACCTGTTACATCACTTGTTGATCTATTTTCACTCAAAAACCCTAGACCAGCTCTCTCTCTCTAAAATCTGACTTCTCTCTACAAATACACCTAGATCTAAGGATCTCTCTACCCTACTCTCCTTGATAAAAAAATAGAGCATTCTGGGGGCTTCCATTTGATCCGAATAAAGTCAAGTTTGGACATCTTTGAGGTTTCTCCACTTCTCCTTTGGGCTTCTACACTTGAGGTAGGGACTCTCTACACTTTATCATGAGCTTTAACTTGGTTATAGGTTGTTGTATGAAGATGGTGAGATTTGGGTGTGTTTTGAGCAAACCTAGGATTTGGGTTCAAGTTGGAAAATAGGAGTTTCTATATGGGTGTTATATAAATGATTATGGGGTTTGGTTATGAGGTCATTTTGTGTTAAAATAGTTAATTTTGGCCTTTGGGTTAATATTTGGAAAATGGGGAGCTTTGCCCTAAAATGTCTTGAATATGTATTTTGTATAAATAATAAAATTGGTATGGAAAATGTGAAATTGGGTGGATGTATACATGAATGGTATTGTTGGATTTGTTTAATCACTCACCTATAGAAATTTGATGATTTATCTGTTATAGAGATTGTATATCTGTTTAGAAATATTAGCTTTGAGCTATCGGTGGAGGATAGTCATGATTGTTGTAGACATTGCATGTGGATTAGGCGAATTGAAACTAATCCATTAACTATTATCATTGAATATGATTATGAATGATATACATTGTATATGTATGACATTTGGGAGGAGAAATGGGATGTACTCCATATTTTGAGGAGAAAAAAAGGGATGAACTACATTGAACTAAGTTGGCCTATGTGTCCAGAGTGAAAGTCCTGAAAACTATTTGTATACATGGGTGCCAATTCTCGCGGACGAAATTTTCGTAAAATAGCAAATAGAAGTGAATGTATTTGTATGATGATTTTTTTTATCTGTTGGAAACTTGTGATGGGTTAAATGTAGTGGATGTATCTATTGAACCAAATGAATAAATTGAGATGCGAGTTTGGTATAACATGGTTTTGGAAAGAGTTATAAAGATTTTGTTGTAAGACAATGAGCATGTGCATCATACTTCTATCTTGTTAATTCTCACATATTGTGTTAGTATGTTTCTACTGGGTTTTGGCTCACCTTATTTGGGAACCATTTTCAGGTGTTAGAGACATGCCTCCACCGAGACAGTAGTTTGAAGAGACATGGAGAAAGAGCTTCCTTTTATTTTATTTATTTTGTATATCCAAGGGCTAAGTTGTGTTGAATTAGACTCTTCCTTTTGCTGTAACCAAGCAATGTCTTGGGAAGATGTAAGCTCGTAGGGCATTTATTTTGTTGATTATTAACCGGTATTACATGCTATAGATTCAGGATGAACATTTATGAATGTATATTGCATGTGTTATCCTTTGTAATACGAACTCTGATGAATGAAAGCATACCAATTCTATTATACTCACTTCTCTTATGAGTTGGATTAATTGCATTTTTGGGGCGTTATAACTTGGTATTAGAGCGAACCAGGTTTCAATACCTTGGCTTGTGGGAAGTGGTTTTGACCACAGTTGGGTTTTACCTTGAGATTGTGAGTGACGTTTGCATGCTTATGTGATTATATGAGTATGGGATTAAATTTTTAGGATGTTGATTGAGTCCACGGGTTTCTAGAAGTCTTGTCAGAAGAGCACTTGATCACTACTGTTTCTAATCGGAACTCTGGCAACGCCGCGGGATGGTCATTGTCTGAAAATGAAATTCGTATGTATTTATGTGAATACATGCTTATGTTGAGTGAATTATTGTTATCTATCGTATTAGGATGCGAGCGAGTTAACTTCGGCACATGTGTAAATGTGCTAATTTCTTTTGTTGCTTTTATTAGGATGTCAGGGCATAGATGCGGTGGTAGGCGTGGTAGGCTTAGACGGCAGAAGATGCCGATACCAGACGATATTCCGGCACAGGAGGAGGATGTTGGTCAGGCCAACGTGGCCGAACCAATTGGTTAGCAGGCTATGGGTGCCTTAGCCCGCGAAATGGCTGGGGCATTGAGGGATTCCATGGACATTCTCAGGGCTGAGAATCAGGTCCAGGCCCAAGTAGCTGAAGCAGGGCAATCTTTTCTGAAGAGAGAGTTTTTCCGGTCGAATCCAAACGAGTTTTTGGGTGATCCTAAGGAGCCACGGAAAGCGGATGAGTGGTTAGAGCAGATGGTGAAGACGTTTGAGATGCTCGGCATCAAAGACGGGGGTTTGAGAGTGACCTTGGCATCATTCCAGCTGAAGGGAGACGCGGGTCGATGATGAAAGTATGCACTAGGGCACATTAGAGGGACTTGGGAGGCTTTTGCCGATGCCTTCCAGGATAAGTTTTTGCCTCCTACTGTTAGGGAGAAGTTAAGAGACCGGTTCTCTAAGTTAGTGCAATTGAATACACCAGTAGCTGAGTTTGAGGCCACATTCACCAGTTTGTCGAGATTCGCACCTGAGCTTGTGGCGACTGAGGAACGTCGTTGCTTGGAGTTTGAGAAGAGGTTGAGGACCGGGTTAATGTTTAAAGTGGCCGGTTCGATGATTAGGGATTATGGATGCCTTGTGGAGGCGGCAGCTCATCTCGAGACCATAATGCAGTTGGAGGAGGAGAGGATAAGGGACTCCAAGAGGAGTCAGGATGTCCAGGGAGATAGTAAGAGACAGAGGGGTTCTAACCCTCAATCGTCCTAGGGAGCTTAGTCAAGGTCCACTTTTTCAGTACCGAGTTCAGGGTTTGGAAGAGGTGGTTAGGGAGACATCATTTGTTTCAAATCTGGTCAGTTGGGCCACAAGTCTCCAGCTTGCTCGTAGAGAGGAGGAGGGTAGCGAACATCATTGTCAAGGGAGAGGCCAGCCGCTCCCTTGTTATAAGTGTGGACAGGCGGGGCATATGAAAAGATTTTGCCCAC